CACAGCTCTAGACAGAGATCTTCTCACTAGTGTTTACCTGGTGGTGTTGCATACATCACAGCTGTATCCACGGGAACAGAGAGATGCTGTGAAATGCTGCACTCTCTGGTGTCACCAGCTGAATCCACCTCCACACCATCATCCAGACCAGCTCCTCGACACGCCTGCTGAGATCACAACCAGTCCTCAGTCACCCTCCATCTTCACCATCATGGTCAGTGTGTGTGTGTGTGTGTGTGTGTGTGTGAGAGAATCAGAACCGTTTATTATGTAAATACACATACAAGGAATTTTACATGGTGGATGGTGCATAACATTAAACAATCAACACAGTGCAAAAATTAGAAACATTAAAATTTACAATAAAATATACTGCACAAACAAACAGATAACAGTACTTTAACCAAGTATAATGTAAGTGTAATGTGAAAGTGTCAAGTGTATTTAAATAAAGAAACAGAAGGGTTGTGCAGGGGAGTGACCGGTAGGAAATTGTCCTGGGGATGACAGAGTCAGTGGGGGTCCTGGGCTTTGTTGATGAACCCAACTGCAGACGGGAAGAAACTGTTCATGTGTCGTGAGGTCTTGGTCCTGATGGAGGTCTTGGTCCTGATGGACCGCAGCCTCCTGCCAGATGGAATGGGCTCCAACAGTTCATGTCCAGGGTGAGAGGGGTCGGCTACAATCCTTCTTGCTCGCTTCAGGGTCCTTAAAGCGAACAAGTCCTGGAGGGATGGCAGATTGGGGGGGCACTGGGATGGGTGGTACAGAGGCATGAGCCCCTGCTGAGCTGGGGGAGGGGGGCCTGGTGGTCTGGGACTGGTTGATGGAGCCATGGGGTATCTGTCTGAGACCTCTCCAGACAGAAGCAGAGTCACTGGCTGAGAGCTGGTGTTGCAGTTTCTCAGAGTACAGTCATTTAGTGTCTCTCACCGCCTTGCTAAACCTGTATTTTGCCTCTTTGTACAAGTCATTGTCCCCACTCCTACATGAATGTTCCTTGTGCAACCTTAGCTGTCTGAGTTCTGCTGTAAATAGGGTTTGTCGTTGATATAACTCACCCTAGTGCTTGTTGGAACACATCTGTCTTCACAGAAGTGTGTGTGTGACAGTAAACACTCTCACCTGTATGAGGAACACTTTGGCCTTTTTCTCCATATATTTGTTGTTAAAATATGTGAAGATTCGAGACAGTTGGACGGGTTTCCCATCTGCTCCAAACACACAGCCGTCTTCCCCGTGAGACGACAAGACGGCCAGAAAACAGTCCTTCACAGGCCGCCGGCTCTCTACGCACACACACACACAATGAATGAGGTATGCACTAAAGTGTACAGGTGCGAACATTCAGTCCAAAGTATGAGTTGTGTCACGTCTCCAACACTGAACGATGACACATATTATATAATATTACACTTATATATATGATATGAAATGTGAACTTGGTCCTGTGTTATGACTTTCATAACCAATAATCAGACTCTATGTGACTGTTGCACACCGTTATCTGTTAGTCATGTCTGATATCCGGGTGTCTCTGCTGAGGCTCAGCACACAGAACCAAACACACAATCCAGACAGAATGTCAGTAAAGATCACGTGTGGACTATCAATCTAAGGAGATTATATTTGTCTTCACAACAAGTATTTAGAACCTGTGAGCAGACAACATAAAGACAGACACATGTCATGTTGTTGTATTTTAAATATTGCCACCTTTCAGAAACAGCTGGTAGATCTCGTCCCTGCTGAGGTCGGTGTGGATGTCCACCTTAAAGCCCAGCTTGCTGAGGGTCCGGTGGAGGGTCTTGGTGTCTTTACCTGCTCCGGGTCTCCTTCCTAGAGTCACTCCTGGGTCAAACTGCTCCACAGAGACCAGAACCGCCCTGTTCCTGTGATCCATCAGTCCTCTCTACTTTGTCTTCCTCTGTGAGACGCTGCTCTTTGCTGTGTGTCTCCGTTATGTCTGTCTGTCTCTGCTCTACAGATCACCTGCAGTCACACCTGAATGACCATATATGGTCCCTCTACAGGCTGTTACAACAGGAAGGATCACGAGCGTTTCTGTCTCACTGTGTTACATAACATGCACGTGCCGGGAAAAGACACTGTGCAACCCCTCTGCACGCCTTCCTCACGTGTGCTCCTCTCACGTGTGCTCCTCTCAGGTGTGTTTCCTCTCAGGTGTGTTCCTCTCACGTGTGTTTCCTCTCACGTGTGTTTCCTCTCACGTGTGTTTCCTCTCAGGTGTGTTCCTCTCACGTGTGTTTCCTCTCACGTGTGCTCCTCTCACGTGTGCTCCTCTCAGGTGTGTTCCTCTCAGGTGTGTTCCTCTCACGTGTGTTTCCTCTCACGTGTGTTTCCTCTCATGTGTGTTTCCTCTCAGGTGTGTTCCTCTCACGTGTGTTTCCTCTCATGTGTGTTTCCTCTCAGGTGTGTTCCTCTCACATGTGTTTCCTCTCAGGTGTGTTCCTCTCACGTGTGTTTCCTCTCACATGTGTTTCCTCTCAGGTGTGTTTCCTCTCACGTGTGTTTCCTCTCAGGTGTGTTTCCTCAGGATCAGGACTAAACTGAGACTGGTTCATATGGAGGATCAGGACTACACTGAGACTGGTTTATATAGAAGATCAGGACTACACTGAGACTGGTTCATATAGAGGATCAGGACTCAACTGAGACTGGTTCATATAGAGGTTCGGGACTACACTGAGACTGGTTCATATGGAGGATCAGGACTCAACTGAGACTGGTTCATAGAGAGGATCGGGACTACACTGAGACTGGTTCATATAGAGGATCGGGACTAAACTGAGACTGGTTCATATAGAGGATCGAGACTAAACTGAGACTGGTTCATATAGAGGATCGGGACTAAACTGAGACTGGTTCATATAGAGGATCGGGACTAAACTGAGACTGGTTCATATAGAGGATCGGGACTACACTGAGACTGGTTCATATAGAGGAGCAGGACTAAACTGACACTGGTTCATATAGAGGATCGGAACTAAACTGAGACTGGTTCATATAGAGGATCGGGACTAAACTGAGACTGGTTTAGGACCAGTTAGAACTTCCTCTCAGTCAGACTAGAGTAAAACGAGTATTTCACCGTTTTATCAGCATCATTTATTCATCATTTTACTATTATTCCTCTTGGTTGTAAGTTAAGAAACTGAAAGTGACATTTAAAAGCAGGAACTTATCGAGATGAAACACGTACAAATATACATGAAGCTGTAAAGAGAAGTAGAGTTAACGTCAAGTCAAACTACTACTACTACTACTAGACACTAAAAATATCATCAATGTGTGCAAAGTACTGACAAACAGAGTACTACTTAGTGTGCTGCAGTCAGGGTTTAGAAAATGACCGAAGAATAAAGTAATTCCACTTATAAACAAATATAAATAGGCTTCGTTACTTGTAAAAGTACTGTGTTCAAAGTGAGATTTAGTGGATTAAAAACTACAATATTTACCTCTGAGATGTAGTACAGTATAAAGTACTATATGTACCTCTGAGATGTAGTTCAGTATAAAGTACTATATGTACCTCTGAGATGTAGTACAGTATAAAGTACATGTACCTCTGAGATGTAGTACAGTATAAAGTACAACATGTACCTCTGAGATGTAGTTCAGTATGAAGTACATGTACCTCTGAGATGTAGTACAGTATAAAGTACAATATGTACCTCTGAGATGTAGT